AGGCTTCCCAACCAGGGGCAGCGCCTTGGACAAGGGTCAAGCTCCACCCTGAGCTGAGCAGTGGGGTTGGGGGGATGTTTTCCCATGCCCCTGCTTTTTGCAGAAGGGCTGACCGTGCTGATTTGTTGGGGAGCAGCTTTCTGCAGTGTCTGTGCCGGCCGGGCTGGCCCGGCTCACCCCTTCCCTCCCTGTCTGAAGGTCCCCCAAGCGATGCCATGTGGGCTCTGGGGGACAAAGTTGCCTCCACCATCGTGGCCAAGACGGTCCAGATCCCCACGCTGCCCTGGAGCGGGAGCGGTAAGCGCTTCCTCCCCAGCCCCACACACCCTCTCTGCTCCCCGATTTCTCTCCTCCCTGCCTCTTCTTCTCCCCCAAAGCAACAACCAAGGGTTGGGGTCCCCAGGCTGGCTGGCTGCAGATATCGAGTACCCCACTGAGCTGAGCAGCTGCTGGTTGGGGCAGAGGGATCTTTGGAGGTGGGGTGCATGGAAACACGGGAAACGGCATGTTCCAATGTGGGGTCCCCAGCTCCTGGGGCACAGCCAGCTTTCCCCTGAGCTGTGCCACCCCAGCGGTGACCATAGCCCTGGCCATGCCCACAGGTCTGGTGGCCCAGTGGTCCAAGGAGGAGCAGGAGCACCAGCAGGCAATCAGCATCCCCCTCGAGACGTACGCTCAGGGCTGTGTGAAGGACGTGGAGGAAGGCCTGGAGGTAAAACTGACCTCGTGGGCAGCCGGTTGTCTCTTATCCACTGCTTTTTCTCCTTGGAGCCTGCATGCCCTGGCCGTTTTGGCCTCCTGTCACATGTGACAGCAATGCAAGGCTCTTTGTTCCTCTGCATGGACACAGCTTGAGGATGCATGGGGCTGGAGCAGGGTCGTCTGCCAAGGTGACAGATTTGGCTCCAAAACACTTCGGTTACTCCAGTCCTTGACCCCTACCTCAGGTGGCCAAGAGGATTGGCTACCCAGTGATGATCAAGGCGGCAGAAGGTGGCGGGGGCAAAGGCATCCGAAAAGTGGAGGCAGCGGAGGAATTTGGCACCTGCTTCCGCCAGGTGAGAGGTGCCCAGAGCCCCCATCCCCATCCCAGGGCACACAGCAGGGTCCTGCTCCCACTCTGGGTGTCTTGTTCTTCCTACCTGGGAAGGACCTGCCTCCATCCTAGGATGAATTTTGGGGGATGACGCCAAAGCAAAACCGTCTCCCCCCGCTGCAGGTACAGGCGGAGGCTCCCGGGTCCCCCATCTTCCTGATGAAGCTGGCGCAGCACGCGCGGCATCTGGAGGTGCAGGTGCTGGCTGATGAGTATGGCAACGCCATCTCCCTCTTCGGCCGCGACTGCTCCATCCAGCGCCGGCACCAGAAGATCATCGAGGAGGCGTTTTTTTGGCCCCCGCCGTCATCGAGGTGATGGAGCAGGTGGGTGGCGCCGGTCTTTGGGCAGCATTTTTAGTGAGAAACTGGTGTGATCCTTACGGGGTTTATTGCGGGATTTAGCACCTGAGGCTCTTAAGGAAGGGAGGGACACCCCAAGGTGAGCAGGCAGCCCCAGCCCTGCTTGTTTCCTTGAATCTATGCTGCCATTTTTCTCGGGACCCCCCAGCTTGGCTGCGGTGAGCAGAGGGTCATTTCTCCCCGCGGTGGTTCCTCTCCTTCCCACAGTGCGCGGTCCGCCTGGCGCAGATGGTGGGCTACGTCAGCGCAGGCACCGTCGAGTACCTCTACAGCGAGGACGGC